CAACAATGTTTTCCTATCCAATCAGAGGCGTAGAACCCTCTATTTGTGAAACTATCACTGCAGAATCCCCTTCAAGTTTGTAGCTAGTAACCTATGTGTAGAAGTAATAGCACGTTGTATAACAGAAGAATAGGAACTTGTATGTTGAATTGAAAATAATTTATGTACAAATGTCATGTGGGTTGGACTTTCTATATTGCTTTAACAAACAGGAAATTCCAGCCATTAACCATTTTCCAAACATGAAGGCCAAGATCCTTTAGTGTCATTTGATCAGATTAGGGTTGATTTTTATTCTGTACTTCAAAATTAGTGATAAGGAGACTTGAAAATAACTTATTTTCAAGTCTCTTCTTTCATACCTTTTACTTGAAACATTCTTTTGTCCTGTTATGTTTTACTGGATAGGCTACTCAAGAAGGATCTTGGAACCATGAAGGCTATTTGTTATTTCCGGTTCACTTGGATGGAACCTTACTGGACAACTCCACTGCTATGAAAACTAATAAGGAATTCTTTTCTACCACAGATGTTCTTCAAATATTTCGACAGGTGAATAGAAATGATATATAATTTTCTTGTTAATTCAATACATTCTGATCTCAAAGCAGGATTGTTATGCAATAGTATCTTTACATGTGTGTTAATATCGTACTTTGATATGCATCATGTGTATTGTGTCATATGCCCACTTATGAAAAATGCCGCTGCAGCTTTGTGCAGGGCTGAAACATATGCACAATCTTGACCCTTCATATGCACACAATGATGTCAAACCTGGTAATGTTCTCCTAACACATAGGCAAGGGAAATCGCCTCTTGCTATATTGATGGATTTTGGGAGTGCTCGACCTGCAAAAAGGCAAATTCGATCTCGCTCAGAGGCACTACAGTTGCAGGTAATCATTTTTATTCTCCTTTCCTTTTCATACTTTCAGATTATAATCTTTTACTCTTTTATGTTCATTCTTCATCAGTATCACTATCAGCAACCTTCTTGGTGCATCCATGTACCAATATATATTTTTATGGGTTGTTGGTATGTACTTGTACAATTTTTTCTTGGTGCATACTTATGTGATCTTTAAAGCTTCATTCGATTGAATGTTTTGTTCAATTTCTTCATCTATTTTTCATAATAAAAGTTAAAATGTTCTTAAAGTTTATTTGATTGTGAATTTACCACCACACAAGGCAGCCTTTACCTTAACCTTTACCTTAACCTTTACCTTTACCTTTACCTTTTAGTTTGTTTAGCATATGTGGATTTCTGTAGGATATTAGCATCCACCACTGTTACATGACTACATTTTGATGGCTATAATGTAGGAATGGGCGTCTGAGCATTGTTCAGCACCTTTCAGAGCTCCTGAGTTGTGGGATTGCCCCAGCCATGCAGACATTGATGAGAGAACTGATATTTGGTCACTAGGATGCACACTATATGCAATAATGTAAGAATCGTTTGCTTCAGTCATAATTTTTATTCTATTATCAGAAATCATTTGTAACTAGTCTTGTGTTGTGTACTTCTTACTTTCTGCAGTGAAAACTGTTTGATTTTATATATGCCTGTGCTTACCCACTATTGAGGAACATGGAGTCCATCTGCTGTTTTGTATAATTTTAGTTTGTGTTTATTGACTCTTTTTTTTTCCCTCAATTCTTATTTACAATGGTATTGAAATTAGTTTATATGGTTGCATATATAACTCACAGATGCGTTGCCATGTGTGTGAGTGTGAGCACATGCATGCTTTGTGTGCGTGTCTGTGCATCGATGTGTTTGCTGCAAGCATGTTCCTGGGTGCATCATGTTTTCTGAAACTTCATATTCTTGTACATTCACATTTCCTTTTGACTGTTGTTTGTTATTTCAAAATCTGTTGCCTTTGCCCTCTAAGGTGAAGCAGGATCTCATTTATGTCTCAACTTGCAGCTACATGTTTCTGACTTTTCTTATGGCTGATTTCCACAGGTATGGAGTATCTCCATTTGAATACGCACTTGGAGAGTCTGGAGGAAGCCTTCAATTGGCCATTGTAAATGCGCAGATAAAGTGGCCAGCTGGACCCAAACCTCCATACCCAGAAGCTCTTCATCAGTTTGTGACATGGATGCTTCAACCTCAGCCAGCAGTTCGTCCTCGCATTGATGATATCATAATTCATGTTGACAAGCTGATCTCAAAGTTTTCAAATTGAGATAATAATATAGAACAAAAGAATATTACATTGGGAATGCAGCGGATCATTGTGCAGCTCAGCAACTTCCTATACACCCGTGATGGTGGATGTTCAAAATACTAAAGCGGAACAAAGTAGTAGCAGTTTGTTCAAACGGTTACAGAGAGATGATTTCCTTTTTTTGGCAATAGTTGGGTCAGTTGTGCAGTGGCTTCATTTTAGTGCATCGTTGTCACAGTTGTATTTAGTTTTACATTCTGTAATTTACGGAACTGGATTGTCTTTTGCTCACAAATATTCAATGTTTTAGTTCAAGGATAATAAATGGTGACACAGCATGGATGAAGTAAACAAATCCCACTTTATCTGACTTTTAAGTTCATCATCAGATATATTTAAGCCTATTCAACAAAGCGTATCTTTCTTGGGATACCATCTTGAAAAAAACCAAAAACAAAATCTTGGGATATATCAAGGCCTGATCGGTTTTGCTCAGGCAAAGCCAGGAAGCAGCAGCCAGCATGGGAGTTGTCTTCTTTCTTTCACAAGGAGCAGGTTATAGAGGCTAACCTCCTTTTAGCTAATTTCTCAATTGGTTTTAGGAGTATTCTGGTCAAATGTTATATTTCTAGTTTGACGTTTTTCTTTCATTAACCCCTTCCCCCATAAGAGAAAGAAAAAAGACTGGCAGCATCGTTACATATTCTGAAGCTCGAGGTGAACAACAAGAATGCAGTCTTGTTGCTGATCTTTAATAACGGCTGATTGCACTTTTATGCCTTGGATAGTGTGATAGGAAGGGTCCACAAAGCAGAAAAAGGAACTCAACCTTGTATAAAAAAACCTAGACTCGGCTCTAACAAGGAGCAACGATAGGAGGAGAGTAAAGCACAGCCACCATTGAATTTATTACTCGAGGGTTTATATGAGTTTTCCACCTTATGTTTTGGATCTTAGTTGGCCCTCAGTCTTACCCTATTCATCCTGACTGAGTATCCTTTCCTGCACAGCCATTGGATAGCTTTCACAGGATGCTTTTCTTACACTAAGCACCCAATAAGAGTTGTTGGTTCTTCCAGTTTCTAATGAGTGTAGCCAAGTGTAATGTCATGATTCCAAATTTGAAAACAACTTTAAGGCCTAGAATAATATCCAAGGATGCGGATTTCTGTACTAACCACAGTATACCCAAGTGAACATCTTTTTATCCAAAGTGAAAGCTCCGAATTTTTGGTCCCATCCTTCAGGCTGTGGAAGAAGGGTTACACCTCGTTATGGGACCTCACTCTCTATCCGAGGTATCTACTCACCCATCTTATTGGCTGCTCTTCCTCCTTCTTCTTTTTTTCCACTCACAAAAGCACTCATCATCAGATTCTTATTTTTACTGTGATGATGGCTGTCGCAACTGAAGCCACCAAAATGACTGCATGAACAACAATATCCATTCACTCAAGAAAGGTTGAAAGTGCCACATGTACTCTCCCCAGTGAGTTTCTATATAACCTCACTCCTTTTCTTCTTTACGGGAGCGTTTTAAACCTTTTTGTTTTTGTTTTTTTAGTTTCAAATAATGGCGAGAACTTTTGCTTACACGAGAAAAGAAAATGAAGACAACGAGAGCGAGAGCATGAAGAAAAGAAAATCATTATACCACCGAAGAGGCAAGAAAGCGTTAGCGTTATGATTGATTGACTGCACTAGCCAATATAAATGCTTCCTACCTTTTCCAGTCTTTAGAACTCCCTTGTCCTCCGCATTGCAATTCTTTAGTAATCTCTCTCGTTTCTTGTAAAACAAAATGCATCATAAATTCTCGAAAGGACATCAAAAGAATCCATATATATTGTCTCCAAGGACACTGCTCCATCTTTACTTTTCACCAAAGATTCCTCTATACAAGCACCAATCAATTCATCAACAACGCCTTCATCCTAAACTAGTAGGGGCCAACTACATGAGTCATTTTCATTGACTGAAATTTCTGGAGTTCAAGCCATGCTTGCTCGTTCAATTGAAGATTCCAGATTAGATTCCCTCAGAAAAGTCTCCATATGTTAGTTGTCACCAGGCAGACAGATTGAATCGAAGATGCCACATAATTAAATTGATTTTCCCATCCTAAGAGATCATGCAGTATGATTAGCTGAAACTGCTCCAATGAAGTCAACACTCTTCCTGGGATTTTAGGAACAGATTGAAATGTATAAACCAGGATAACCAAACTTCAGAGACTACAATGCTCCAATGAGATCATGCAGTATTTTTTTTTTAAAAAAATGAGCGACTAGAATGCATTTGCATATGAAGTTATGAACTGCCACTAACTCACATAAAAAAAATTAAATCTCTTATCTTCTCTACACATCTTGGGTGATAATGAAAAAAGTCACTAATTATTTAGAATTACGACTAATTCACCAAAAAAATAAACATCTAAATTCCTAAAGATATTTCAGACAGTCAAATGATACAAATGAAGGTAATGGTGTTTTCATAAAAATAGGTGAAGGAAAGATCCATCCCATTCCAGGATTTTTGTCTTGGAAATGTCCCTTTTACTATGTTAATATCCTGAAAGGACATTCTCCAAAGGAAAGCAGACTTCCTGCAAGCATATGCTATACTAACAAGGATATATGTCAATTCCCATGGTAAAGAAGAAAAGTGAGCATAAAAAGAAGTAATTCCCATGGCTAAACTATCATTGAATTTAGGCATCTTGATTGTTAGGCATAAAAAAGAAAAGAAAAGCAGCATGTTCACCTTCTTCAATCCATAAAAAAAGGGAACAATTGCAAGTAGCAGAACAAATAACAGAATCATGCAGTTAAAAGTTTCCACTAACAAATTTCCTATGCTCAGTGAGGTGAGAAACCATGAAATGTTTGTAATCACCAAATCATGAACCACAAATCAACTATATCTGCCGGTTTATATATTTCTAATCAACCCCTCATTTGTCCCCAATATAGATTACAAATTCCTTCAATCAATGTACTTGTTTATCGCCAAAACTAACTCAAAATACCTACTTACAAATGGAAACAGAGTATTGACAAAGTTGAGGTGTCTTTTCTTGATGCCCATCTGCATTAAGGTGGAACCGAGACATTGTTAATGCCATCAAAGAGAGCAGACGATTTAAGTGATGAAGATATGGTTTATGGATCACCTGGCTACATGTGTATGTTTCATGCTTTCTATTAATCATCATGGTCATCCTCACCTTCAGAATCTGTGTATAAGCAAAACATTCACTATTAATAAGATACAACAACAAAAATTTAGGATATTCTGAACATATAGTCTTCTTCAAGGTGAGGAAAATTAAAAAAAGATTGCCGCAGATCTCACATAAATTTAAGGCCTCCCCTAATGACTGAAATGCCTGGCCAACGATTGAGTGATTTATGAGCATCAACCAAGGCCAAAATATATTGTTTGACTATAAGTAATTTAGCATAACATCAGAATGTACCTCTAATATACTACAAAGTACTGTAAGCATCAAACTTCTGTGTTGTTTCATTTGTAACCTAATATGATAGGTCATGGAAAAAGAAAAACTTGAAATATGATAAGTACTGTATTCTTCTAATACGATAATGTATCTCCACCTTTTCATTTGCTGCACTCATCTCTATACTTTTTTAACGAACCTTAAATAACTGTTGTTGTTGTAATCACAACAGTTCAATTTGTCTTAGAATCTCTACAAACATGAGCATAACTTAATTTTCCATTAAACGTTGAAAAATGACCTACACACATTAACATTAACAAAATAGTAAAAGAGTGAGGTAAAACACCATTCATTCCACTGTAACCCCGTGCTCAATTACATTGTGGATTCACACAGTGCAATTTTATTTTTATATTTTTGCTTTTATTTTAGTCACATAGGTATTTTTTTTCTTTTCAATTTGGTCCTTTCACATTGATTTTATTAGAAATCAGCCTTAATAGTTTGTTTTGATGAACTCCTTGTGGGTCTTTCATAGAATATAAAAAAATCCTGCCAATTTATTGACACTTGATTTTACAAAAAATAGTTCGGATTTTTTTTAAGAAGATTGAAAATAGAATGACTACAATTGATGATGAGAAAAAAAAATGAAGCCCCCTTGTCCTTGAAAGGAATAAGAGAAGAAATCATGCATGATAACCGAGGTCATGGGAGAGAAAAAAGAGGAAAAGAAAGAAAGAAAAAAAGATCATCAGAACCACATCAAAGCTACATTGTCACCACACATCACTGTGAAAGGAAGCTCTAGTCAAGACAATTCTAACGGCACCAACAAAAGATTCATCACAATTTAGAAGAGGCTTGCATGTGCCTCCACTATTTGACAAAGGCCTTCCTCATGTGTTTGTGTGTGTTACATGCACAATCCATTTTTTATCTCTTCGTTCAATTTCGTCCCTATTTATTTAATAACTCCTTTATTTTAGTCCCAAATTTTGTCCCACCTAAGATTGATTAAGGCCAACCGAGGGAAAAAAGGAGAAAAGAAAGAGACAAAATCGCCCAACCAAGTTAGTTCATTATGGTTATGTTCATGACTTGGATAGCGGGATAGCCTGGGTTGATTCAAGTCGATCCAATGTGTCGACATCTTATTAATAAAAAAAATATCATATTGAAATTTTTTTAAAGCAAAACCACCTTTTGACTGGTCATCTAGGTTATTTTTGGATCTTATAAGTAGACTAAGTAACGTTAAGACAAACTCTCACATGGTTTAATTTGAAGCTTAGCCTAGGCAATGAGTCGGGCCAAAAGGTTTCAAGGTTAATCCCTTATGCCGAGTTTAATGACATTGTCAAAAAGTTGTTTGCAGCTTGGATATTCCTTTTTTTTGTGTTCAAATAACCACCGCTTCAGTTTTTTATTTAAAAGTTCAACTAGCATTGTCTTTAAATTATATTTTTAATCACATCAGGTTTCAACAACGTCATCTTGGTCATGTTATGAGTTTACATCTATTGTATTCTTTAAAAATATGCTCGCAGGAACATTGCTAACACTTTGAATCCACACCCGCGGCCTCGCGAGAGCATCTCAATTTGTAAGTACTGTTTGTGAATTTTCCAGAATGTGTTAATGGTTAGCAATATAGAATATTATTGGGCATGTTCAGAAGAAGTTTATATGTATTGGAAAGTAATCAAGGAGTATCAGTATCCAATAAGATAAGGATAAATCACTTTTCCAGGTGTAAACATAGTTAATAGGTTAAAGCTAATGTTCAACAAACCATAAAACTTTTCAATGACATGAATAAAAAAGCAATGAATTAGAGGTTCTCTACCCACAAAATGTTTAAAATGTTGTTAAAAATAAATAAATAAATAATGAGAAATACAATTTTTTTCATTGACCAATAAGTTTTCTTGAACCTAGAATATTCAAAAGGCATTTAGGTTATCATTCACAGGAACCTTAAATGCTTGAGCATGGTGGCTTCTACTTGCAATAAGAATTCCTATTGCATTCCTATCACATCATAGAATTCTAACAAATCAATGTAGAGTACTGTTAATAATGCAGACGTATTCCAATCTTCAGTCATCTTTTGTTTCCTCCAAGCTTTCCTTGGGTAAAAAACCAACTCCCAAACATTTTTATTATGTTCCACATGCTGAAGAAACAGATGCTAAATGCAAGTCTTACTGTATAATATTAGTCAAGCAATGATAAGGTTAGTTTTTTTTTTTTTTTCATGAAAATTTCACCCTGCATATACATCAATTGAGTTTTGTTTTCTTTCCTTGTGTTTATGCTTGAGCTTGTGTATGGAAAAAGCTGCAAATTTGTATTTGGAAATCATGCTCCTTACCTGAACGAACATCATCACTAACTTGGCCTCCCGCTTGGATTTGTGCCATGACCATCCCAACCATCAAGATCCACCAATAAATATGAAGAACAAGCAAGGAAAACAGAAGAGTGTTGAAGAGATAATAACAGATAGGTCCATCCACCATTTGCGTTTCCTTGTTGAGGGCCAAAATAATTTCATAGCTGTGATGAAGGATGCAAAAACTTAATACCAGAAAAAAAATAACAGGCAGGCATTATGTTTCTTCTCAGAAAAATAAGAAAAGATAAAATGAATAATAAGGAGTTAAAAAATGAACTGCCACTGTTTAATACTCTATTTACACCTAGAGTTCTACTCTTTTTTCTTTCTTTTTTTTCTCCTTCTTTTCTGTCTATTGGATTTCAATGCTTACTATATTAAATATTATCTCTCAACTGCAATCCTCAACAGTGCTATAATAGTTCAAAATCCACCACTAAGACATATTTATACAAAAGTTGGACGCTGTAAGAGTTGGACGCTGTATCTGTATCTGTAATAAATTATAGTTAAAAAAGCTCAACTGTTCGCCAGTGAATGTTTGCCAGTGAATATATGGAAAGTTCAAATTATGGCCCCAAGAAAACATGTTTTATATTGCTGGAATGGAAAGAATATTGAGATTGGAGGGGTGTTGGACTGCATTGAGAAACAGAAGCAGTGAGTGAAGGGAAATAGAAAAGCAAACTGAAAAGATTAGACATGAGATTCATGATGTCCTGGCCATGAACGCCTCCATTAATAATACAAGGAAAGAGCTGTTGTGGTAATTGGTCCACAAGTGTCCATGATCGGCCAGAAGATAACTATAGTTGCAAGATTGTGGGCTGAATAAGAAAAACGTCTTGACATGTATCAGAAAATAGCACAATTGCAAATTTTCCTAATTCAGCAGGATTGTTTTGGCGGCTTCTATTTAGAGTATTTAGTATGTCCCACAGGTACTGAAAGTGAAACCAATCACATAATAGCAAAAACACCTGGCCAACCAGAATGCGAGAGGGCCTGTGTTGCAAGGTCACAAAGAAAAAAACTGTGTAGAGTTCATACATAATTGCACTGTCTCACCAAAAACTTCGACATTATATCATATTAGAAATAGCCAGGCAATGCTGAAATGGTAAATAATTGAATCTACCTATTTTTCCTCTAACTCAGTTCTCACAGGGAAAAATTCTAATGAAGCGTTTTTATTTATCCACCTAAAGAGTCTTACAAAATAATTGGAGCAATGCCGAGGATGATAGTGCTCTCAGGGTAGATAGGTAGAAATGTAAGATATACTTCGATATCTAATCAAAAAGAAATTTAGATCCAAACTTTCAATTTTTTAATTTGGACTTATTTATAAAAATAGCTTGAGAAAATTATAGAGGTCCTCTCATCTCATTTGAGGTTATCTTTATAAATTCTCAAATTAGACCTCATGCATCATAAGAATCTCATGGTTTCTCAAGTTCTGTGACATTTCAAGGAAAAGAGGAAACCAATGACTATTGATAAATTATTGCCTTGCCAGATACTCACCTTGTGCTCCTAAGTATCCAAAATGGGTAGTAAATGATGCGGAGTATGGTCCATAAGAGAACAAAGAGAAGGAAAAAAACACTAGCCATCAATTCGTAGCCACTATATTTTGACATCTTTGCTATTTCCATGAACACATCAGTTGCATCATGCAGGGCTAAAACAACAGAACCAACACGACCAAACCTGCAAGAGGAAGCAGACTGTAAAGACAAGGTGCAGGCATCTTTAGCACAAAAGTATGACAGTATGATGGATGTATTGTGTTAAATTTGTTTATAAATTTTCTCTGTTCTTATCCGGGATAAAAATGTATTTGAGTTTGCATGGAGTGATCCTCTTATACTGTAGCTGTTGATTATCAGTATTACATTATTGTTGGGTTTTTTCTTTTTGGATAAATAATCAGTATCAATGCTCTTAAAACATAGGAAGTGGAAAACAAATTTGAAGTTGAAGCCCTTTGAAACATACCTAAGTATGTAGGACAGAACAATGAGAATGAAAGTTACAATGTGATGGCCCATGGATACACCAAAGTCTGAACGCCTGGTTTCCCAAAAAACCAAAGCAAATGTAGAGTATGTATAGAACCCACCAGCATACATGTACAATACCTTCAATTTGAATCTGTGCACGAAGAGAATAATCAGTCAGCTAGGCATGATCATATGAAACCATGAAATTGTATACATATAAACCTAACAACATCGATGGAAGGAAAATCTAATGCTAAAACTAGATTAATTCTGCTATCTATAGTAATAATAGGAAAGATGTTTTTAGAGTTGGAGAGCTCACTTAAGTTTCTGATCAGGCCAAACTTGATCACCAGGTCCTACCCAAAAATATTTGGTATTAGTGAACCAAGGTTCATCATATGAAACATAAAGAGCCAAAATCTCAGCACAAAGAAAATAAACACATTTCCATGCGGACTCTTTGAATTTATTAACTTTCTTCCGGTTTCCACGTATCCCAACATCCACAGTAACGTGCCCCTTCCCAAAAATAAATCTTCTGGCTAAACACTGCAACAGAAATAAACAGCTGTTTGTTGTCACGCCTCTGATTTACCATGGAATAACTAACTGGCAAGATAAATATTTTCACATACAATTAAAAACTTGAAAAAGCAATATTGCTCCATCCAAGGTGAATTTTCCCTAAAATAAAAAAGGCAAACGATGAAAGAAACAAAAAGGTTGGTTCTCCCAAAGCACTTTCAACATCAAAAGCAGAACTAACAGCCAACAGCAGGTAAATAAATGGTAATAATTAACAACAACAATTTGATATGGCGCCAACCATTAGTATAACTACTCAACCCCAGAATATTACATGCATGAAAAAACAGTCCACCATTACAAGCAGTAAGAACGTAAGGAAGTAGTAAGATGATACCTCAAAGACATATTTGTCAAGAACGAATCTAACTGAAAAGAAGAAGACAGCAAATAATGGAATGGCCATGAAGTCAGTGGCCACTGGGTGTGACTCTGACTCCCAATCGATCAAGTTGTTGATTCCCAGAACACCCATTTGACTGTTTTGATGGAATTTAGAGAGACAGACAGATAATAAATAGAGAAATAGTGAGGATTGGAATCTTGGATTGCAGCTTGAAACTTTAGCCAATATCTGCCTGTGGCTGGCTTGTGGTGTTTTCCTGGAAAGAAGCACAAAAAATACTTGACTTTGGAATTTGACTCTGGCTCCCCAACTTTGACTCGTTGCGAATTTGACTGTGGCTGTGGGTGATGCAATTGGACCTGACTCAAAATTGAAAACCCCAAGTCCAAAAATAATTACGTAGGCCCTTAGTTCAGTAAATATCCTCAATTGAGTACCCCTCCGTGTGAATGTGTGTGTCTATATATATATATATATATATATATATGTCAAATTCAGAATCTTAATTATAAAAAATTGATAACTAAATAAAAAAAATTTAATATTAACAAACTAAATTAAAAAAATATTCATTAAAAAAAAAACAAAAAAATATCTAAAGGTATTTATTTTTTTATTATAAATTGCATTGGACGATTCATAGTGAAAAATATATAAAAAACAGTTCAACGTTTCATTGTAGATTACACACACACACACATATATATATATATATATATATATATATATATATATATCCTCTTTTTAATTAAAATTTTGTATTTTATCTATTTTATTTTCTCATTATAAAACTATATCATTATACGCTACTTCATATATTAGAACTTATGTTTATCCCTATGGTTTTTTTTTTACATAGCAATAATAAGAAAATTAAAAAATTATTTTAAGTTTGATTGCTTAAAATTTCTTATATTTTGACAAGATAAACTTTTAAAAGACACATTAAGTTTGTTGTAATCAGAAAAATTAAAGGATTAAGGATTAAATTGATAAAATTTAAGAAATTCAATTAATTTAATCAAGGACTTAATGGATATTTTTTTTTTATTTTTATAATTGATTATAACTTTAATTGTTTGAAAATCTAGGAATTATTTTGAGAAAATGGAGAAGTTACGAGTTTCATTTAAATATGGCACATAGGACCTAGTTGTGAATTTTTATTGATTTGACTTCAACTTTAGGCCATCTTGCACAATTAAAACTTGAAGGGTATTAAAACAAAAAAGATGCTGACATTTAATGGCCAATTTGTATTTTATCAGGGTCGAATGACTCCGATTCAAAGCTTTGATATAAAAGGCTTGCATGACTTTCATCTTCTTTTCCAAGAGTGATTAGAAAACCTAGCCCCTAAGATTAAAAACCGTAATTATTCTCCTTCTTATTTTCTCTTGACCTAACCTTGTCATCATCATTGTGTGGTCTCATTTAGGCATCGCTTTGATCAACTTTAATGTCGTTCTTTCACATGTTTGACATTGTTTAATGTGTTATGCTAGCTTTCAAGCCGAAATAAAAAGTGATTATCCTTGTTGTCTTTAACAATTTTTTATTTATTTTTATTAAAAGCATTTTGGCTTTCATACTGGCCTATCATAGCCTAGTTGTTATTTTTTAGTTTGTAGTCCTTAACAATGTTAATGCTAGCCTTGCGATCCTCATTAAAAATAATAATAGGGTTTTGGGTTTGCCTACAACTCTAGATAAACAATTATAAGGTCTCATTCTAGCATTTAAATATAAGGCTTAAGATTTCTTAAAACCTCGAGTATTTATACTTCTGTTTAGTTAACCTTTAATCTTCAAGTTTATATATTTATTAGTATTTAAAAATACATTTTTATCAAGATTTTATATTATTATTTTCTACTTGAAGCATCAAGAACTCCTTAACTAAAGCATATTTTATAATAACATATCTAATAAAACATGTTTTATAATAACATATTTAATAATATAAGATACCTTTAATTTATAGTAAATATTTATCTTAAATGCAGGTCTATGACATAAAAAAATGATTAATTGATAAATTTAAGTATTGAAATTAAAAGGACAAAAAGATGATCAAACTTAGAAAAGAAATGCTGGTGTAGTCTAAACTAGAACACTATTCTGTAATTGGGTCATATATGGAGTTGTAAATCTCAGATTTTAGTCTACTTTATATGAATGGAAAGGTAAGACATACGCTTACAACTTTCATGAGAAGTCCAGATTTTAAAAGGCCGTTTTCAAGTTCAAATCGTAGCAACAACGAAGAAGTCTGAATATTTTCTGCAGCCTAGACACTATTCAGTTTTCAGCCTATATCTTGAGTTCTAGAAGTCCAAATGACTTCAATTTTTTTGCTAAAAAGTTGAGACAATTTCTTAGAACTTTCATGGGGTTTAGTTCAAATTCTGACATTATCAATGATGTTTTATTTAGACAAAAAGATAAGGATTGTCACCAAGAAAAGATGTAGCCACCCACTTATCAATTAGTCATCAAATCAATAGTTCCCAATTTTGGCCTATAAAAGGAGACATTTGTCATGCATTTAGATATTTTGGTTTCCAGATCAAGATCATGCTCTTGCTTTCTCTCTTTGTATTTTTGTAATGTTTAAGTTTTGCTTTCATTAATATCTTGTTTATGCCTTTCATTTCCTTTCCTTTACTTAGTTAACTTTTATCTTATTTATGTTCTTAT